ACCATGATCACATACCCTGGGCATCTTGAACAGAATATTAATGTCGTATATGTATGTCTATATGGATTTAAGTATTTTGCTACAGGTTTCCGTCGTATTCTATGCAGTTTATTAAGCTACTCCACACAACAGTTGGTTGGTTGTTGATTGATTAGCACTCCAAGAGACGTGAATATATTAATTCATTTTCGTTATATGGAAAGTACGTATGTATGTATGCATGTATCTATGTGTATCTTTGCATATAACTTTAACTTAAAAAGTTGGTGAAAATGGTTAAAAGAAGACTTTTATCACTTAAGATGTTGCCGATCGCGTCATGTGTATGTATGTATGTTCATTTGCACTTTCTAAAATCTCTGTCTGCTGCCACTGTTAAATACAAAACTGTTGAATTCATTTGAAAAACGCACTGGCAATCGCAAAATATAAACAAGTCCACAATTATTTATACAAAAGAATTAGAAACAGTATCCATAAGTACGTATGTATGTCTGTTTATTTGTATCCATATGAATGTACAGATTAACGCGACAGGCAGCTAATGCCAGCAGCGCGGCAACCAAAAATCAACTGAAAACGACAATCGACATTCAAAGCGGCGGCAGTCGAGTCGCCAGTGACCAACATATTGAATGCCCATAAATATGTATGTAAGTACACATGCACATATCCACTTATTTATATACATACATACATATTTACGTTCAAAATATATACCATCCACTTCATATAGCCGCGAAAGCAATAACAACGAAAGGCAAGAAGCTCCAAACGCCAAAACAACAATAACAATAACTTAGGCAGCGCCAACAATACTAACGCTTCGGTGGAATTGTTGCAACAACAATAAAAATATAAATTTTATTTACCACATACATATACATTTATATATACATATCTACGAGCAGTGTTGCCACGGAGAAATTTGTTTTCCTACCAAAACAGCCTACCAAAACCAACCAAACCCTACCAAATTTTTTTTTGAGTTTTTGATATTTTTTCAATGTCAAGTTTATTAAAAATTGAGATAACATAACATTTAGTAAAACCAAATTAGAGCTAGTACAATAAAAAAACTTAACTGAGTGTAACAATTCATTTTACTGTACAGACTTAAACATATGTACAAATTTATATCTGTTTACAGTTTACATATAAATATTATTATTAAGTTACACTACTACCGCTACACGACCTAAGATGATCTATTTTGCTAAACCCTAATTGTAACCACTCCCACCTTAGACTATTTAAGAAGTTAAGCACTTTGGGGGCTGCCATGTTTCAAATTTTGGATGGAGAAGATAATCCTTCCCCAAAGTGTATCAGTCTGCAATTTGTGATGCGTTGGATTTTTGTTCCACCAGCCCGCAAAAGGTTGGGGCCCATGCACACGCATTTGGACTCCGTGCTTTGCGAGACAGGCCGCGGCTTCGTTGCCTTCAAACTCTCCATGTCAAGGAACCTACCACATCCTTACGCTATTGTGGGCTCCCAGGTGATTCAAAAAAGTTTTACAGCTGTCCAAAAGCCTTGATTCCGTTTAAAAAAAGTCTAAGGCATCAGTAACAAAAACCGCGAAGTCTGTTCTGTCTTTTCCATGTTGGATAAGGAAGCAAATCGAATGGGTCTGGTGGTAAACGAGGACAATACGAAGTATCTCCTGCCATCAAACAAACAGTCAGCACATTCGCGCCTTGGCACCCACTTCACTGTTGACAGTTATAAATTCGAGAATTTCGTTTACTTGGGAACCAGCATTAAAACCGATAATAAATAATGTCAGCATGGAAATCCAACGCAGAATCGCTCTAGCCAACAAGTGCTTCTTTGGACTGAATAGGCAATTCAGAAGTAAAGTCCTCTCTCGACATATGAAAACCACACTCTATAAGTCAGTCATCATACCCGTGCTGGTATATGGCGCAGAAGCATGGATATTATCGCTTCACAGCAGTCCAATTTATTCACGAATTCTGTCCTTGAAGGGTTTGTAGAAGAACAATTTGGGATCATCCAGGAATGGCTTGATAACCTCCAAATGACCCCGAAGAACTCCTTTTTTCACGCTTTTGGTAAATGGGTCAATGGTGGAATTCAGTAAGTTCATGTGCAAGACCTTTCCAGCACACAACTATATATTCCTGTAAACAAGGTTGCTAAAATGTTTGCAGATACATATTTTCTATTTTTCGTAAATAGCTGTTAGTGTCGCGGAACCTACCAAAACCCAATCTTGCCTACCAACCTACCAAATGGAAATAAACCTACCAGTTTTGGTAGGAAAAGCGCATATGTGGCAACACTGCATACAACTATGTGTATGGTAAATACAAAAGCAGCGTAGCCCAGCTGTAAAAGCTTTTATGTACAACCACCTGGACACTGGTGCGATTCTTATTTTCCATTGGCATTCCATAAAATAGGAGAAAGTGCGTAACCCATTAGGTTGATCCAAAACTTCAGTCTCTGGTTAAAAAAAAATCTTCATCCCTTTTCTAAAAAATTGATTCAAAACAGATGTTTATTCCATAAAGCTTCACGTCCTCAGCGCTCGGGACTACTCGCACTAAGATTCTTATCGTCCCATGTATTTTAAATGAGGAAAATTAACTTTTTTCTTACAGTTGCTATAAAATCATTAAAAACAAATATTTTTTGATCGAATAAGAATAATGGGCATATTTAACGGGGTCCCTTTTTCATTTTCCATAATTCTAAGGGGTGGCAGCAGAAAAATTAAAGAAAGTTTATTTTTGTTTCCTGTGTATTCTCGGACCGCCCTAATGTACATATATACGGAGAAACATCCTCACATATCATCTCGTTGACCTCGAATTATTAACTTCATCATTACTAGGGAGAACCCAAATTTCAATTTGATAAGATTTGACTACTTGGAATCGATTGGATCCGCATGAAATTAGACAGTAATAGTTATTGCCCAACTGCATCCCATTGAGACTAGTCCAGGTTTATTCTCTTAGAGATCAGTCTTAGAATTCCTTTATAAAATTTAAATATCGTCGATGTTTTTGCAAAACCGCCTATCTTACGGCGCTCAAATTTTACAGGAGAGCGAAAAATCGGGGTTTCTTTGAAGGCATTGCCTTGAGAGGCGGTATTTTTTCTAGCTATTATTTTACAAATCTGTTGCTTTAAACCTAATTTTACGATTTTTATGCATAAATCTCGATACCTGGAGTTCGGGGTAACCAAATCACATTTTTGCCACAACAGCGATTTAGGCGGTTTTGCAACTGGTCGATGGGCACTTTTGCAAAAACATTAACGAATATACATATATCATATTTGCCATAATGGCAAATCCCGGTTAAATTCCAGAGCTCTATGAAATGTGTACATCGATGATTGTTCAGCCAACAATTAGTACATATGTATGTATGTATGTATCTTCCAGCGATAACGAAATAAATATAATTTGGCCCAGTTCAGCTGTGAGCATGTGCGTGCGGGATTTATTACTGGGGTAAACGCATACAAATAAAGCTAAAACCAGAAATTTAATGCAATCCCAATAAACATTGGGCTTGGTTAAAAGTTCGAAAATGATTGGAAAACGAATCTTTTTTCGAGTCTCACCTTCGATAACGATTGTGGTATAAGTTAATATTCGATTCGAGAACTAGGCCCTTCTCCAACGAAACGGAACGCTCGACGCGCCAATTTAGGGACGGCAGTAAGGTTGGTTATGAGTTCGTTCTCAGTTCGATATGCATATTGGATATCGAAGGTAATTTTCGAACGTTCGCCACAATGTTTATTGGGATCCAACACAAACGGCGATACATATGTACATATGTGTGTACAATAAACCAAACAATAAAAAAGCCATCTAGAGGAAAAAGCTCCGACAAAGGAATACAAGTAAGTAGATGAATGAAGACATCGGAAGTCATACGCATAAATGTCATTCCAGCTTTGTGTCCTATAACGCGAAAAGAGGGTCAGCAATTGCAAGTTAATACATAGTACATACATACGTACAATTGCAGTTGCATATTAGTAGTTAGTACATACATATGTACATATTTATATACGTGTAGACATGCATACATACGAGTACATATGTATGTACAAATGTGCATACGAATAGCTGCCAGCTGTTTAGCTTGCGTTAAGTAACGATTAATTGTGGATTGGAGCATGAAAATGTAAATAATAGGAGAGATAGAAAGTGATAAAATAGTGCATGGGAAAGAGGAAAAGTAACATAGTCTAACATCTTGTACATATTTATATACGTACCTACATAGATGCACATTGACATTTGTATGTGCATACGCATGTCTATATGTACATACATATGTACTAGGGTGGGTCAATTTTTTTTTACTATGCGCGTATAGCATAGGGTCTAAAATCTAGTTACCACATTGCCAAAATACAGAAGTTTCGAAGGAAATGTGAAATGTGTGGCCTCTGGTGGAAGTTTTAAAAATAACATATGAAAATAAGTGCAGCAATGAATTGCTCATACCAAAAAACCCCTTACAGCATGTTTTTATATAAAATTTAAGCACTTCTTTACGACATTACAGCAAAATGCTAAGAAACCTACTTTCTCAATTTGGCAAACTCCAAATAGATTTTAGACCCATGGTTTCTTCGGCAAATTTGCTTAAAATTACACGTAGCATGCTTCTGTGCTAAACGCGCATAATCGAAAAAATCTCCAATACAAATTGATCTGCCCTAGTATGTACATATGTTAGACCGCATCACCAGGAAAAAAGTTAAATTTTTTCCCAGCGATTTTGAACACCCACTATGAGAGGAGTAAATTTTTTTCGGCACTCGGTAAAAGGGCTAAATTTTTTTTTTCAATAACATTTATATCCCCAAGAAAATAATAATAAATTTTCAATAAACAACTTGGTAGGAAAATTTTGTTTTTTGCAAACGAATATGGGAGCTTCGAATTCCCCCGAATAAGGAAATCATAGTATGATATACACGAATTTGCATCAAAATTTTAAGCATTTTTCTCAGATTTCAAAAAGTTCCATCCTCTGCGCCGGCGCTAAATATAATCTTTTGTGCCCAACTATAATTTTTCAGTTCTAAGGCAACATAATATCGCTATTACAATACATACAACCAAATCGCCTTTATTCTCCTCCATACAAAATCGACCCAGTCTAATGTACATACTTACATACATACATACTTATTGCAGGCATGCAAAGTACTCGTGTGTTTGCCAACTGTTGAATGATTTGCGTGTGGCTTGGGTGGCATTTAGTTTTGGATAATAATTTTATGCAACGTAATGCATACATATGTACATACATACATATTTAAGTATAAATGTACCTGTAACCTTGCTTGTGGTTAAGCCTGCCCAAATGCAGACATACATATGTAAGTATGTTTGTATGTAAATACGTTAAAATAAGACTTGACATAATTACAAATATTTCAGCGTCTAGAAGACGGATACAACATTTTCAAGTGTGCTGGATTTTAAGGAAAGAGTGTTCCAACCAATCACGCCTATTGATAACGACAATCCCTTAGGGACAATATCTCTAC